ATGTGTATGATCGACTCCATGATTGTCTCGTGTAACCTTAACTAAAATATCTTTTAAAAAAATTATCAATTTCCTTACATTTTATAATTCTTAATAAATAATTTTAGACAATTATCAAATCAGCGAGTTGATAAAATAAAGATGGGCTACTATAGTGATAGAAGTAATAGCGATAGTAAAAAAAAAAAATTTTAATTGCTATATCCATTGTAACACGATGAATGATTTTCCATTAAAATTTCGTAACACACCGTACAATGAAAAAGAAAGTCTATATTTACACTGTGCTCATTTAAAATCGGTAAACTTCACATATATACTTATTATTAGATCTGTATTATTCAGCAATATTTCCAACCGGCAGTTGGGGTTTACTAATTATTATCCATGATCAACGCAACCAACACAATTTGATCTAGCGTTTGATAAATATTCCACAAATTAGGACATCTCCGCGATAGAGATGCAAATCGGTTCATCGGCTTTATTGATTAATTGGTTTTTATTGTAATTAATATACAAGCCAGTACTGCCGTTTTGCATCTCTATTCCCCAGACCTTCTGAAACTATCAACCATACTTGACGACATTCTATATCCACAAATAGTTTGAAATCACAATAGTAGTATATATCCCATTTTTTATTGAAACTAACAAATGCATGTACGTACATTCAATACAAAAACTATGAAAGTATCCTCGTACGAGTTAGTAACTATAATTCCTCACCAATCATTAGCAATAAATTTAATAAATGTTCATCTTCTGCCCAATCTATTCCACTCTCAAGTATTAAACCCTGATACAGTGAATATAAATTTGTTAATAATTTATTCAATACAGTTAACAAAAACAAAATCATGAGCCCATATTACCTGTAATACATTCCGAACAACTTCACGTTTTGCTCTAGCATCGGCCAGTTCTCTCTTTGTCCTTTCATTAATTGAAGTTTGAGAAGTCTGTTAAATATTAAACCTTTAAATTTTAAACGACGTATATTCATACTTACCTTTGAATCATTTTTGTGTCTTGGCTATCAGAATCATCAGAGATTGATGTACGCATATCATTGATTTGTTTCATTAATTGCCTATTATCTCTGTGACGCTCTAAATTTATAAACTAGTAAAAATCAAATATTTCCCTATAAAGAATGTATAATTAAATAAAAAAAGAAACGAACTTATGACAGCTTGTTGAAGTTCTATTAACTCAGTCTGCGCTTTTAATAATTCTTGATGAGATTTCAAAATTTCTACTACAAGACGATCACGCTCATTTATCATATCCTTGAGACATCTAGATATTATTTAATTATTATTGTAACGCGAAAATACACGTAAATATTTAAAATTTCTATTGCTACCAAATTTTTAAAAGGATACAATGCTTGAGGTGACAATTGAGATCCTTCTGGAAAAATATTCGTTAATATAACTTTTCCCGTTTCGATACTATTTTTTATTTAAAAAAATAAAATATAATAATTTTTAAGTGTATCTATTTTATTCTTTGCTTAATCTTTTCTTTTTTTTATGCACCATTCAATTGCCTTATCCTTGACTAAATTTTTTGCTCGTAAATCTAAAAGAATCTGGTTTTTTTCATCGATTCGTTTTTTTAATTCAACTTCATCAGTTGGTTCTGCAAATGTTGACAATGATATCTGTTCTGAAAATCATATTCATTATAGTTATTTTATCAATTAATTCTTAATAATTTTAAATAAATTTATTAAAATACTGTATTAAATTTTGTAATTATTATCAAAAAATACACACGTTGTTTTTGTAACGCGTATTCTTGTTCGCGTTGTTGTTTTTTTAGTAACTCTAAACGTTCAACCAATTTTAACAATTCTTCTTCTTTATAAGTAAATATAAATTTTTCCTTATTTATAGATATTTCTGTGAAACCAACATTTGCGCTCAAAGTAGTTTGTAATAATAGATTCGCTGCTTCGGTAATAAACTTTAATGACATTCTCGAAATTACACAGTATTAACGTTAATGATCATCATGGTAATATATCTGTTATTATTACTGTATAATAAAAATAATTCTGTGTACGTACAGAATTTTTTTTTTTTATGTTACGTACAGTACTGTACAAATTAGTTGAATTGAATTGAATTTTATTTATTTTTAAAAAATTAGCAAAATTATATCAATTTAGTCCGCTTTCTCTATGTTCGAAAGCTCGTGGTATCCAAATAGTTTAAAAGGCACCTTTATATCGTTGGAATTCGGCCGATAACTCATCGATAATTTAATTTTTATTATTGTGATTCCGTTTTACTTATTTATTTGCTGAAAAATTAAATGGCTGTCCCGGCGATTGAATGTTTTTTACTTGCAGAAGGACTTTATAAACTTAAAGAAAACATTTTCTTAGAAATAAGTGCTCCAAATCTGTCCAGTGGGACATTAGTTTCTATAGTTTCTGTAAAGTATAAGGAATATACTGCACATCCAAACATAACTACTACTGAAGATGTGTCAGCGATCGATCATGTGGAAAATGCACCAAGTAATCAAACAACGCCTTCGACTGAAAATACTTTAGAAGTTGACTTAGACGAGCCAACAGAACTAGAGAAAACACAACCTTATCAACAACAGCTACAAGTTGAACAAGTAGCTCAAAATGTTGATCTTCCTAATCCTAATCTTACATCAGCACAAAACACACCTTCCTTAGTTAAACCTTCAACGAGTAATGGATCGATTCCAACTTCAATAGAAGGGAAAAACGATGATATGTTTTCGTTTTTAACTCAAAATGTAATAAAACGAAAAAAAACAAAGAACAATCTTACCAAAACTACTTCATCTTTTGTGGCAAAAATTATTCAAAATGATAATTTAACAAAAATTTTGGCGAACCGGCAGAATGAAGATACCTATTTATTTTTTAATTCTGGTCGAACATTCTGTTGGGTTGATCTGACAAACAAACCAAAGGTTGATGATCCATTTTTATAATTTTTTTCTAATAATTTTCTGTATTTAGAATTGTTTCATGTTATACTTTTTATTATTCATTTATTTTAGGATCCGTTGACCAAGATTAATTTTACAAAAGCTCATCCTATATGCCATGATGTTAATCAGCTTACTCGTTCCTGTGACCATTTAGATGTTATTATCGGTTTTTCTTCTGGTGATATCATTTGGTTTGACCCTCTATGTAATAAGTACTATAGATTGAATAAACAGGTATTTTCTTTATACATTGAATTTTTATTTAAATACATTGAATTTGATTTTTATAATTGGATTTATTTTTATGCATTGGGATTTGATTTTATACATTAAATTTGATTGAAATATATATAATTAATGTGTTATAATATATTTTTCCAGGGAATAATAAACACTTCTTCAGTAACTATGGTGAGATGGGTGCCTGGTTCAGAGAATTTATTTATGGTATCTTATCAGGATGGTTCAGTGGTCATATATGATAAAGAAAAAGACGATCAAAGTTTTTCTCCAGCTGTAACAAATGAAGAAGACGGGTGATTACATAATTTTTAATATTGTAGAATTAATAAATTTTCATTACCCTTTTTTTTTTCAATAACTGATTTTTTTCTATTTCGTATTATCAAGATTTCGAGTAGCACGGCCGTCAAAAAATGGAAAACATAACCCAGTATCATACTGGCAAGTTTCAAAAAAAGCCGTGACAGGTAAATATATATATGTGAATGTGTCTAATAAGTCATTATATAATGAATTTTTTTATTTTATTTCATAGCATTTGCATTTTCGCCGGATTGTCAACATGTAGCAACTGTATCTATAGACGGTTTCTTACGAATAATAGATTTCAAACAAGAAACGTAAGCCAAAAAAGTGACAGATATCACGATTTTAATGTAATTTGTTCTGTTTTGTAACCTCGGCTTTTATTGTATATTATTCACCTAACTTGCTTTTTTTTTTTCTTCTGTATTTTATGTCTATGGACTTTCTCGTTGGTTATAGGTTATTTGATACATATAGTAGCTATTTTGGTGGCTTTTCGTGTGTGTGTTGGAGTCCTGATGGTAAATATATATTGACTGGTGGTCAAGATGATTTGGTCACTATTTGGGCTTTTCGAGAACAACGTATTGTGGCTCGATGCCAGGGCCATCAATCTTGGGTTACCGGTGTATCTTTCGATCCTTGGCGATGCGATGAACGTAACTACCGTTTCGGTTCTGTTGGTGAGGACACGAAATTATTACTATGGGATTTTAGTGTAAATGCATTACACAAGCCCAAGAGCGTATGTTGATTATTGTTTCCAAACATTTTTATGTAATTTCTGTTTTTTTCCATATTATTACTTTTTGTGGGCACCTATACCCGCAAATAATTTTAACTTACTATTTTTCAATCGTGTCACTTTATAGTCGGGTAGAAGAGCTAGTCTTGCTTCACAGTCACATGCGACTTCTGTTGGTTTACGACGCAATTTGGCTGAACGCGAAATTCTAAAAAATACAATTCATCCATGTCTACCAAGATCTGAAGTTGCGATTCTGCAACCAATCATGGTAAGATATAAATACATTATTTGCTATTTAATTTGCTATTTAATTTTTGTTTCTTGATCATTAATAGTACATGGATTATTACTTTAGGATATATCCATTGATAGTGATCCACTTAGTTCATTAACATTTCGTGAAGATTCCATAATAACTACATGCAGAAAGGGGCATATAAAGATATGGGCTCGACCGTAATTTTATAATAATAATTTATCATTATGTTTCTTAGTTTTTTTTTTTTTTTTTTTTTTTTTTTTTTTGATTTTTTGATTTTTTTGTTAGATATTAAACTTTCATAGACGTAATTTTGATGCATACTTTTTTTCTCAACTTAATACACAACTATTTAATTATACATCATATTTGTTAAGTCCTAATATTTTTGGCTTAATGTTACGATTTTATCTAAAATATTTGATTATTTATTTCATCATTAGAGTTTTGCTGAAAGTCTATCTCAAAACCATATATTATAATTTTTTAACCTTCAATTTGTACAATATAATAAATTCAAATCAAAAAGAACTTAAAAAGAGTGCACAACTTTCTCATCAACAAACAATTTATCTAAGATGGTCTAAGAATTATTACTCGCTTTATATATGAAATATTGATTTAACATGAGTACAATTAATAAATTATTTCACGTGTTTGGATTTCATTACATCATTACTGAAATGTCAACTTACAATTAAATATTGTAAAAGTAGAAACTTGACACGAGACTATTCGTAAAGAATTATTCATAATTTCAGATTCGTAGATTGAATGTTGATTTCTCGTTTCTTTTGTTTTGAAACAGAAGCCTTCTTCCCATCTTTTCCAATAATAGTGACATTCTATAAAAAAAAAAAAAAAAAAAAAAAAATCAATGAGATTTTCTTATTCTTATGCATTTAATAATAGAAGGCATACCTTTTGACCTATTAGTGAATCCATCATTTTCTGTTTTGCATGCTTGTTTCCTAATCCAAGATTCATCCTGAATAAAAAGGTAAGGAGGGTTAGTATATAGTTTAAAAAAATTCACAGAAATTTTTATTTTCCAGGAAAGAATTCACAAGTCTATACTAAGTGATCATATGAGGTGCCTTCGTATCGTAGAACTTAAAACGCATCCGAAAAACTGATCGATAGATTTGTTCTTGCAATATATTCTACAAAGCTATCGGTCGGGGAGGTTTTTTTTTTGAAATATCGCCATAAAAAAGTTCAAAGCGCATTTCTATCACGTGATCGTAAGGTATGGACTTCCCAGAGTTGTAAAATTAAGGTTGCTTTCCAACAATTACCGTAGTAACTTATTATGTTAAGTTACCACTAACAACCCTGGCCATACTAATAAGAAATTAAATAGTAATTCCGGCCAACTTGCTCAACTTGCTCATGAAAATTTATATAATTCTGGTGGAACCTTTAGCCTCCACCACAATTAATGCTTAATGCAATAATTTAGGCGCTAATGTAGAATGATGCTAAATAAAGCTCAAAAAAAAAACATACTTTTCGACAACTTTTCTCTCACGTTCTTTTAACTTCTTTTCTTTTTTCTTTAACCGTTTTTTTGCAGCGCGTGTTCGTTTTTTCTCATTTGAATCCATTTCAGTGTCACCCTAATAAAATATATGCCTTTATAAGTTCAAGAATTAATATGGATTCGAATAAATAGTAATAATAATAATTCACCTTGACTTCTTGTTTTTTCTTATCATATACTTCTTCAGGTGCAAGTAATGTACCATCACTAACATGAACCGGTATTACTTCCTCCATAGCTATAGCCGGTACATCGGCAATAACAGTAATTTCAGGTCTAGGCTATTATTTTTAGATACAAGTGCAATAACAACTATAAATATTAAATCTCTCTACATAATTTAACAACGGTACCTCGTGCAACTTACAGGCTTGGGTGTATAATGGAAATTACTCAAAGCATCCAATTTATGACATAATTCTTTAAACATATTGTCGATTTCCTGATGTTCTTTTTTTAAAGATTCATCCTTCTCATCTGGTATATCAGACGTTTGTTTAACATAGTTTTCCTCATATATTTCTGCTAAAGACTTTTTAGATTGTTCATTAGATAGTTCAACTACTTTTGAAGGTAGAAATGGCCTAAAGTTTGGATCTTGTTTACGTTCAACGTCATCAAACGTTTCCTGGAATTAAACCTATCATGTTAGTTGTACTTATATATTTTTTATAATTACTTATTAACGAAAATTTTATATTTACGTCCAAAATCCTTTGTTTTATCATATCTTCAAGTTTCATCGTAACTTCTTCAGTGATAATAGGAACTGGCTATCGAAATTATAATTCTTAAATTAATTAGTCACACAAAAATCCATAATAATTAATGTGATTTTACCTTAACAATATGATCAAATTTTAAATCCTCCTCCAATAAACTATTTAATGGCCTATGTTTGCTTGACACCTGAAAATAATATTGAAATATTGGAGTGATTAAATATTATTGAGAACACATAAAAACGTTAAAAATAATTACCTCTCCCATAAGTGTCCAATCCTTATCAGCAGCATTCTCCATTTCTAGCCGTTCGATTTGTTTTTGTATTCTTTCTTGTTTTTTATCAAAAGAAGATTTAATTTCATCACCTACAATTTCCACAATAGTGTGTTATATGCATTCCTTCATAATAAAAAAAAAAAAAAAAAGAAAGAAAGAGATTTACGATACCTTTGTCATCGTTCGCATTTGTAGCAAATAGATCGTAGACCAAATTATTCAAGGATTCATTATCATGATCATAATCATTTTTATCATTATCAATATCTAATTTGCTTCTTGAAGAATTTTGTTTCCGCTTTTTTTTTGGCGGTGGATCAAAAAATTCCTTATACATAATATCTATAAGCATCAAATATATTAATTAATAAAGACTAAAAGTAATAAATGATTCGTAAATAAAATTATAATAAATCGTACCATTAGCATTTAGTTCATTGTCTAGTCCATCAGGATCTGTTTATATAAAAATTTTATATTTCATACCAATTGCATATTACATTTCGGATTTTGTGAGCTTATGATAAATATTATGTATATGTATTCATGTACCTGCAAAATAATCTATTTCATCATCCTCTGACAAATTAACGCCATCTTCTGTGTTCTTATTAAATTCTTCCAAATTAAAAAAATCATCATTCAAAACATCAGTATCTTTGTTCGATACTTCTTTGTCACTATCTTTCTCGTCCTCATCATTATCCTATAATCGTGTATGTATAATGAGTGAAATGATCGATAATTTAGCGAATAATGGTGACATCAGTTCATACTTGCACATCTTCAGAGAGATCATCTTCAAAATCCATGTCATTGTTGTCTGATGATTCGGAATGTATGCTAAAACGATTTGTCATTCTTTTGCTCTCTAATAAATCATATTCAAAGTCATTGAATACACTATCATCTTCTTCGTTCTCTTGTTCATCAGGTACGGATTGTTGCTCAAAAAAATCATCAAGTGCATCCAATTCATCATTAACGTATTTCAAGAATGGATTATTTTGCTTATCAATTTCGTCCCATATTTGTTCATTATTAAACTTATCAATTATTAGCTCTTCAACCGGATCGTTATCTATTATTTCCTGCCAATGTAATGGCTCTTTTCGTTTTTCTTTTATACCTGAAATAATTTTCCTATCAATTCACTCGAATAATGTCGTTTTTCTCTAAAATTACTCATACCTAAATTATGTAAGTCTTTTACGATCTTTAGAGCTTCAACGTATGCATTTTGATCTTCTTTTAAAAAAGTTTCTGGTTTTGCTATTACATTGTTGAGAAAAAGTGAAAATTTTTGTGCTAGCATGATTAGCGATGCATATTATAATGATAAGACTGATCAAGATTTAATTGAAAAAAAAAAGATTTATCACGTGAATACGATCTATACGTACTAAACTAAACATAGCGGGCTTTAATTCTGATTGGTCAATCGCTAAATATATCGTCACATATTACACCACATATATCATCTGAGCATGATGGAAGTTTGTTTTGATTTGATTGGCCAATATTTGTGATCTACAAAATCTGTTACACAAATCTGATATTGTTGCCGATTGGCTAAAATAATTTCATATTTAAAGAAAAAAAATAGCAAACTATCGACTAATACTATTTACTAAAATTCATGGATTTATACGAAAATATCAATTTACTTTTATTATTTTTTATTTAATCTTTTGTAGCATATTCGTTCTTTGTAATCAATATATTTTAGCAAAATCATGCATAATTTGAATATATGTAACCATTATTATGAAAAGTTTATATTACCGTTATAGAATCCTTTATAATAAAGCTTTTATTGAGAATTCATAGCTCGATGTATCAAAAAATAACTATCATTGCGCAATAAATATTTATAATAAATAATATATTTAACGCTATTTTTTATCTTATAAAATAATCTTGTTTTATTTTATTTTGTTATATAAATATATCTTACAATTATGTAGTTTCGAAATTTTTTCAGATATCGATTTTACTCTGCTCAAAATAAAAGGTTCAAAAATCAAAAACTAAATCTATACAGCTACGAGAAAAAGTATAAGAATTGTATTGTATATTTCACAATTTAAGGTGTCGTGATCGAAGATCATAACTTCCAAGATAATATTACCATAAGATCGTTGAAGGCTTGGAATTGTCAATAGAAAAATCGATGGATAAGCAGAAGCGAATCTAAGAAAATTCATAAGAAAAAATATGCATAGAAAGAATCTAATGCTGGAAAAAAAAAGAAATAGTTAGCGATCATATTGTTCTAGAAAGAAAAATAGAAATTCTTTCTGATATGTAAAGTAATAGGCCTTTTGTGTCTCTTAATAATCTGTAAAATATAAAAAGATCTGATTTTATCTGTCAAACCTTTTAAGTTCTTTTCTACATAATTAAATTATCCACTTTATCTAAGAATAAATTTTTCAAAAATAAAAAATACAATTAGTTATTATATTGCATTGTCACGGGGTAAAAGTGATATTTCCAATAATCGACTAGAACTGCAGTATAATCACTTGATTTTCGAAACAGGGTCGCCAATCGAATTCTTCGAGAAGAAAAAGTTACGCATACGATCTATGAGGCTTAGATGCAATTGTTAGAAGATTCTAGCAATAAGCAAAGAGAAGAAGGTTCACGAAGGAATTATGGATAAAGAGAACCTGAAAGATAAAGAAACGAAAGGAATAGATTGGCAGGATTAACGAAGGCGTTATTGTAATTTACCCCAAGCCTTTTATGATAGTTTGTGTATAAAAGAGTGCCATTTTTCCTTAGTACCGGTAATAGGAAGAAGATCCTTCGGGACAATAATAATAAAATAATTAAATAAATAAAAAATAAATAATAATAAATAAAATTCTATTACTTAATTCTCACCCTGCATAACAATCCTATTAAAATTTCTTTAATTCTGTTTAATCTAAAATAAATAAACATAATTAATACACTAAATCACGATTGTCACGCCCCTGGCGAGTTGCCTTAATGCATAATCATATCATTCTTAACCAAATTAGTTTTAAACATTAAATTCACACCGTCACAGCATTAATATAAATATAATGCCTCCTAAAAAAAACTTTGGCCCTTGTTCTATTCATGATTGCCAAACCTCTTCAAATCAATATCGCGGAATCACAGATTATACACTAACAAAAATAAAAGCAAAAGATACTTTTAATCAATATAATTACTTAAAAGTTGGAATGCAATTGTGTAATCCTCATTACCTAAGTATCGTCGAGCCTGATCATAATGATAAAAACAAGTTATCAACTAGTAATATACATGTCACAGAGCATAACCGAAATGATACTAATGCATTAATTACTGCTAACATACAAGATAATACAGTTATTAGAAAACCATTATCTTTCGGTAAGAAAATTGCACTGATGACAAAAGTACTATATGAAAAACAAAAAAGAGAAGGCCAATTACTTGAATTAGATCCAGATAATTTCCAAGCAATGCTTGAAAATGCAGAGCCGTTATTAAGAGGATTTTTAGATGAATTATATAATGCATTCATTCCAGAAAGACGGTCCACATATAATAAAAAAGAGAATAAAAAAAAAGTAATTAATATATGTTATTCAATAGCAGACATACGCAATAAGTTCGTAAATAATTATACTTTGGAAGTCAGATTATTTCTCGCAGCATCGGGCGCATCATGTGATGCAATTAATACAATACACAATGCTGGAATTTCAGTTTGTTATAAAACTGTTGACAACTATAAAAAAAAATAACCAAAGAGCATCCAAAAAAAATTCGAGATTATTTTGCTGAAAAAGTAATTTTTACTGCGATGTTTATTTCATTGTAGTTTGAATAATAATTTTCTGAAATATTAATATTTTTAATATATTTAATATTAGAATAACAGCTTTTTTGTATATAATATTGATGATTACCATAATATACACTCAATAAGACGCCCAGATACTACTTCGCTCTCTGCTCCGATTTATTTTGCAACATGTGTTAGCAAGGAAATTCCTAAGTGCGTGCCAATCTCAATAAATTATAATGGTAGCTCAATTCATAATCCTACCAATATAGATGCACCCTTGATTTGTCTATATTTAATCACGAAATACTATAGAATTTTCAATCTCTCATATACACAGAGAAAGAGTCAATGGACTGCTTCACAAAAAATTGTAACCAGCTTTGACCAAATCGACCTTCTAACCATTCATAGTTACGACAAAGCTATTAAAGACAAAAAAGAAGAAAGGAGTATGGAAGATGTAAGATTAGTTGGTATTAAAGAAAATAACCTTAAATCGCTGGATGATTATATAAATGCATTAGAGATTATTCTCTCAATAAATAGAGATATCAAACATGCGAATAATTATATAATGCTAGTCGTTGCCAACTGGCCTGGCCAGCTTTACATACGAAAAGCATTAACTTACTTGTATCAACAAAATCTGAAAATACCAGCAAGTATTAATGCCTTCGTACCTATATTAGGTCCACTCCATGTCTCGCTAAACAGTCAAGAACAAGTCATAATAACATATCATTTTTTTTTCAAGAAACTTTTTCATACTGTTTTTGGAGAGAAAAAGAAGTTTCCAAAAAATCCCAAACCGTGAAGGATAAATCTCTTGCTTGAAATTACTTATCAGGGATGGTTGAAAATGAAAATAAAAATATTAGAAAAATTCGGGCCTACATGTAAAGACGTAGAGTACCGAATGTTAGTTGATCTACTCGATAACATAATTCCAGCAACTTTAGACATATATGCCATCCTTTTTCGCTCGGGTTCTTTTGATGAATATGTTGAAACTATTTTTCGGATATGGACTTTTGCACTACATTAGAAGCGCAAAAATTATAACAAGGCTCCTTTGGCGTTCTTGTCAGACATTTTCTATTGGCAAGACAAAAATCATCCAATGCTGGAAGTAATTAAAATGTTTCTTGTAAATTTCAATGACTATTTCGTTAAAAACTTCTACAGCCAAATACGAGCAAACACATCAGCTCACGATAGTGTTGAAAATATTATTCAACAAGCGTGTATTCTAGGTACGTTAAAAAAAATAAAATAAAATTTAGTTCATATAATATGATAAGTCACTAATAGTACAAATACAAATAAATAAATAAATAAATAAATAAATAAATACAAATAAGCAATCGTTGTTTAAAGAAGTGTTCAACACAAAAAAAAGATACCCATATACCCCTTCTACTTTGGACTATCTAGTAGATAAAACATCGTTATTTTTGCTGGATTATTTTTGTCAGACCTTTCAGCATATTAACACGGTTGCTAGTATGACAAATGATAGAAATAAAAAACAAGGAAAAAAGAAAAAAAGACCTCTAAAATATAAGCTCTCCATTTTAGGTGAAGATGTTGATATAATGTGCTTGCCAACGGGCTACAGTACCGGTGCACCTCCTTTACCAGAACTCTGTGACAATTGTTGCAGACCATTAAACGAAAACAGGGGTGGTACTGTATTAATTTGCGGACATGGTTTTCATTGGGATTGTTATAATAAAATTGAATATGGTTGTCGACACTGTAACGAGTACTATAAAACCGGGATATATAAGAATGTTAATTCTTTTATAGAGAGACTTGAAAAAGACGCTGATACTCTTACCGAAAATGACGGAGTCGAAGAAGAATCTCAAGATTCAGAAGATACAGAAGAACAAGAGGATATACATATAGAAGAAATAGCAGTAAATTTACAAAATGCGTTAGATAATATAGATAAATGGTAAAATGAAGTTAATATATATAATTAAATTTTTTACTTGCCAAATAAATTTATATAAAATCCATATGTCACCACTTTTTAAGTATAAGTGTAGTATCTTAACCTATTTGATCTATACTAATCTGAACGTTTTAAAGGGTATTTTAGAGCTTGAAGCTCATGCTAATAAAAAGTCTACTCAAATATATGTACGATTCGGAGAGTTATCAAATTGTCAAAATTTAAATAACCTATATAAAATTCATATATTTTCTGTTTTTTACGCATAAGTGAAGTACCTTAACCTATCTGATCTATACTGATCTGAAAGTTTTAAAAGGTACTTTAGAGCTTGAAAGATGGTCTTATAAAAAAAAAATTCTTTGTCGTACAAATGATTTTAGAAGTTGTCATATCAGTTACTGTAAGGGGTTTCATATGACGACTATCGTAATATGAAATATATCAACCAATCATATTCAATCTGATGATCAGAATCGATAGCCAATTAAAATGAACTTCTACCATGCTTATCATCTGACTTTAAATGAATTGGCAGCTA